CACGCCTCGCTCAGCCAGTGAGCGGGAGCCGGTCTGTATGTGGGATCCGAACCCTCGGGCGGGAGGGCTGCTGCGCTTCCCAAGCGGCGCACTATCCAGTGCGCCACTGGGCCGGCCTCGTAAATCATTTAATTCTTTGAATTCATAGCCAGCCCAGAAGTATGGGGACTATACTCTCAAATTCAAAATCAGAATATATGGTATAACAAAAGTCATTTGTGCCCTTTCTAGAAGTAATAAAAGTCTTGGAAAAGAAGCTACCACACTGTGTCTCCAGTTCCTTACTTCTTAGTCCAGTGCAATATGCATTCTGCCTGCCCCATACTACTGAAATTCATCCTACCCTGAGGAAAATACCCTCTTTGTTCTTAACTCCAATGGGCCATTTTCTGCATTTTACACCACTTGACCATTTCTTCCTCATTTGTTCTCTTCTTTTGTTTCTGAAATACTATACAGTTATCCTAATTTCCCTACCTCCTCTCTGGCTGGGCTGGTTCTCTTTCTCTGCTTGTCCCTTAAATATCTGAAGTCTTCCAGAAATATGTCTTTGGTACTTTTTTTACTCTTTAATCTACCCTTGGATGATCCCATTCTCCTATGATGGCTCCAGTTTCCATCTCGTGCTGAAGATTTCCAAACATATGCCCTTGTCTCCAGCCCATTTCCTCTCATGAATTCCAGGTCAAAGTATCCAACCACTCATCAAATACCTCCTCTTAGATATCCAAAGGCAACTCAACCAAAAATGTCTCATATTACTGTCTCAGTTTATTTTGCATTGGTATAACAGAATATCTGAGGCTGGGTAATTTATAAAGAAAAGAGGTTTATTTGGCTCACGATTCTGGTGGCTGCAAAGTCTGTGATTGGACAGTTGCATCTGGCGAGGGCCTCAGGCTGCTTCCACTCATAGTGGAAAGTGGAAGGGGAGCCAGCCTGTGCAGGTGGATCACATGGTGAGGGAGGGGAGGTGCCAGGCCTTTTTTAAAAAGCCAGCTCTAGTGGGAACTTATAGAGTAAGAACTCACTCAGCCCCAAGGGAGGGCATTAATCTATTCATGAGAGATCCACCCCTATGACCCCAAAACCTCCTACTACATCCCACCTCCCAGTTTGCCAGATGGGGGATCAAATTTCAACATGAGTTTTGGAAGGGCAAACACACAAATCTTAGCAGTGACATGCACTCTATTTTCTGATATGCTCGCTCTTCCTTCTGTGTTCCTTGGTTTAGTCAAAGCCAATCTCATTTAAGAGGTTGCCCAAGCAACACCTTGGGAGTC